TAATAGAAGATTAATTTTTTAAATATAGATAAAATGCAAATGGGATGAGTAAATAAAATTACTTACATATTTTAAACCATGGTTATTTATATAATTATAAAAATTATTCAACATCCCTACATTTTAGATCAAGTATATTTTTTAAAAAATATCATATAGTGTGATCTCAAAAGATTTTTTAGTATTAGTTCCATATTCATCGTTCATTTTTTTTTTCACTTTGGGTCCTATTCCCACCTAATATTATGCCTTATAATCTTTTATTTTTATTTATTATATAATAATTTAAAAATTACTACAAAAAATAAAATGAAAAAGAGGTTGGATGGTTACTATAGAACTACAATAACCATCCAATGCAAAATACAATAGAAGGTAGATATATCCAAACATTCATGCTACATGTGAAAATCAAATATAAATCAAAAACCATGTTTTCCTACAAGGTTAAAGGTCTTGTGCATAGGGCATGCGAGTGTCTTGAACTCGATTTTCGATCATTTTGCCGTCCATAAACCAATTTTTTTACCAATATCTGCCTGAATTGGACGTAGTTTGTTGACTTTTTTTGGCTATGTGGCAACCAAGTTAGTGTTTGTGTGGTTGGGTTTTTAAATGTTTAAAGGAAAAAATGACATAAAAAATCGAGTTCAAGACACTAGATCTTCATAAGCAAATATTTAAGGATAAAAACGAATCAATTTGGGCATCTACTTGAATGCCATGTGAACCAAAAAAAGTCAATAAAACAAGTCTAGCTAAGTAGACAATGATCAACAAGCATTGTGTACATGATAGGACAATGAAGTGTTGAATCTTTAAAATTCAAGGGCAAGAAATAACTCAAAATTGAGTTTAAAATACCCATAAACCCTATGCAAAAAGTTTGGGATGAAAAAAAATGACACTTAACCCTTTCCTAAAAATAACACATCTATATATGCCAAAATCAATTATGAACCAAAAAAATTATTTGTAAAATAGTTTATAAGATTTTTGGATAATTTTTTAGAAAACTATAGTTGAAAAAATGTACTGAAAAGCAAGTGATAGTGGCTTATGAGATAATCATAATTTTGGATTCATGATTAATTTTTGCATATGTAGAGGTGTTTAGACATTTTTAAAATAACTATGATTTTGGGTTCACGATTAATTTTAACTTATACAATATGGTATGTATATTTTTAAGAAAACAATGATTTTGAATTCATAATTAACTTTGACATGTAATAGGGTGTTTAAATATGGGTAAAACTTATGTACTTAGCCTTATATACTCAATATGCTTCTATCTAATTAAATCATGATATGTGGATCTTAATGTATTAATTTAATTAATAACAATAATTTATTATAAAAAAATAATCTATAAAAGATGTACATGTTTTAATTTAATTGGATACAAGCACCTTTAGTATACAAGCCTAAGTATATAAGTTTTTCCTTTAAATATATTTTCATAAAACCATGATTTTACTTAATTTTTAATTCAATTTTTAATTTTTCTTTTTAATTCTGCTTAAAATCAATATTATTAGTCAATTATACCCATATAACATAATTAATGATAAGCAAAATCAATCATATGAATAATTTTTCCATAATCAATTTTTCTAACGAATATTCAAACGGGGCTGTGTATTCTTGGCCTCTTAATATTTATAATGATTTTATGCCTTACTTGCTTATCGCATAATTAAATCCTATTCGCCCAATTCCCCTTAAAATTTGTACTTTCTCGTAGATTTGATTGCTTTGGAAAGATTCTAGTTTTGTTCCCCATAAAATATTTTATTTTTACCTTCTACCATATTGTCAATATCTTCTAATTCCATTCCATCCATATTCACTGTGCACTATTGTGGCCAATAGGGTGTTTAAATGTTTAATTTGTTTTGAATGTGGCTCAAACTTGAATTGAACAGATTAATGTAAGGAATTTTTGGAATCTGATCAGTTTTCTCATGAGAATCGGTTGCCTCTAGTCCTTATAATTTATTTTTAACTACTCCACTAGAATTAAGAAAAGACGATTAATTTATTATGCCTTAAAATTAAAAAACATTTCAATTTTGGCTCTATCAAAGAGAGAGAAACACAACATTCAAAGCCACACAGAAACATGGAATATAATTAAATTATCCTTTTAGTAGTTAGCTATTGAAGAATGTTACTTAACATCTCTCTATGTGATTTATATTAAAGACTAATATTTTTTTTTAAAGATGCCTTATAATAGGAACAAGGAGTATGTTTTTTTAGGAGTTTTTATAGATAAGGCCCATGTTATATGACCAAATCATGCAAACAACCTAATGTTTATTATATTTTACATTATAACTAGTTTATTATATTTCTCAATGATATATCGTTGCATATTAATGGTAAAAGCCTTATAAATTTTTAATAATAAATTTCTTATATATTAATAATAAATCTTTTATATATCAATGTAAATAGGTCACATTTTTAAATTTTAAAAAATTTGGTCCATATTTTTTTAATACAAGATTTCTTTTAGCTATTCGGCCAAGTTATATTTTTTCCCCCTAATCTTTACTAATTTTCATTTTTTATATTATCATATACTTTTTGTAAGATGTTTGAATTTATTTGATATTATAAATACTTTTTTTTTTTTACCGTTATCCGACTTTTAACATTCAAAGTTGCAAAATGCGGTTGTGAACGGTGAGCACTGAGATTCACTGATTGCTTGTTGGTTTATATTTAAGAAATAAAGTGTTCAACCTAAAATATTAATAGTCACCTTGTTGGCCCAAAAAAAAAAAAAAACCAAAGTAAACACCTTCACTGAGCTGGTGGTCAAACAGCTAATATTTCCTATTTTGACTGATTACAAACGACGCTCCTAGTTACAATGATACAAATGAGCTTAGTGAACAGGTTAATGGATTTGGGCGGATTAGGCTTTTTGTCCCTTTAAAAAATTACATACCCATAATTGGTTTGGTTCATGTTTAACTCAAATCTGAAAATCCCCAAAACTGAAACTTGAACTAAATCGATCAATTTATTTAAATTAAAAATCAAACCAAACATAATTATATGTTGGTTTTAATCAATTCATATCAGTTTGATTTGAATTAGACTGATGTAATCGGTTTATCTTTAGCTCAAATCTGGAGGTCCCCAAAACTGAAACCTTGAACTAAAGCGATCAGCTTATTTAAATTAAAAACCAAACCTAATTATATATTGGTTTTAATCAGTTCATATTAATTTGATTTGAATTAGTCAGATATAATCGATTCGGTTTAGTTTTAAACATATCAAGTGGTCATCATTCCAGCCTAGTTTGTGTGAGAGACAGACTTTTATGCGTAGATTAAAAAAAAAAAAAAAAAGAGGACAAAAGGTGTTACGGACAAATCATAGTGTTACAAATATAATAAACTTGCATTAGTTAAGGAAGTAGCCCCCCCCAAAAAAAAAAAACCCAACAACCCAAAAAAAATAAAATAATGGCACTTATATAATAAACATTGCTTCTGGAATATAATTTGCAAATATAATAAACTTGCATTGTTTATTGCTTTCTAAGAACCGCAGGAGGTAAATATAATAAACCTTCTAGATGTCCCAACCAAAAAAATAATAATAATAAAAAATAAATAATAACACTAAAGAAAATGAAAGATACTTATCGTCCCCTCGGATCGGTTCCATGAGGGAAAATCATTGTACACGGCACAATTTAATTCTTTTAATGTAGTTAGCTTCTCGTATTAATAAAATTCTATGACCCTATTTGACGTGGAAGAGTATATGGTTTCATAAGACCAGAAAAAAAGAGACAAAAAACTTAAGATAGATTATTAGTCTTAATTATTCAAAAATTTAACTACCCTAAAATATAATGTATATATTTTTATAAAATATTAAAATTACAGTTTTTTTCTTTGGTGAAAAGAGTGTTTTCTAGGGAAAATTTCAATGAGAAACTCTTGACTAGATTTAATGTTAATTAAAACTCTTAAAATTTTAAAATTTCATTGTATATATGAGAGATTGAAATGAAATTAAAAAAGTGACTGAAATGATTTCATTATCTTAGGTGAAATTACGTGTACAAACAATTCATATAAAAAAAATTAATACTTAATGTATGAAAAATGAACAATTGATATAAACAAAATTTATAACTTTCATTATAAATTTGTAACTCTTATTTCACCTGTCAATTGTTCATTTTTCATACATTAATTCTTCATTTTTTTTATATAAGTTGTTTATACCTAACTTTACTTATTTATATTTATAATAATATTATATTATTAATAATAGTTGCAAATTTCACTTACATCAGTTGTTTATTTTTCATACATTAATCATAAATTTCCTTATATAAATTGTTCATATGCCTAACTTCATTAGGAATAATAAAATCATTTTAGTCCATTCCTTAATTTCATTTCAATTCCCTATATATGCAATAAAATTTTAGAATTTTAGAAACTTTGACTAAAATTAAATCTGAATTTTCCCTTTTATCTTTTTCTATCGGAAGGAAGAGTTATCCCCCTTGAGATTTTAGCAACGAAATTGCTTTTACACGCAAAAGTTTGTAATCAACATCAACCGCATGCTTAAAATAACACAAACTTTCTCTTTGATTTTAAAATTCATAATTCATAATTATTCTTGAAATTGAAAGCAAAAAGGTCATTGAAAATTTCCATATAAATTATTTTTCAATTTCAACAAAATTTTAAAGAATTCAATATAACTCATTTTTCTATACATATTTTTTCTTGTAAATAGTATAATTCAATATAGTTTTTTTAAAAAAATAGATTCCATACAATATAAAAAAAATTGAGAAAAAAGAAGTGTCGCTCAAAACTTCACATTAATATGGTTTTCTAAGTATTTAATTATATATTTTAATTGAATCGATATCAAATTATCAATCTTAATCAACAGTGGTCAATATATGATCAACATCAGTTTAACTTAATACAACATCATCCGTATCACTAAAAACTATAACAAATTATAATATATAGGTTACAAATAATGCCATCAATTTTTCAAATTCCATACAACTTACAAGAAAAAGTGTCTCCTGAAATATAAAATTTATAATAAATAACACTATCTATAAGCAGTAATAAATAGATAAATATGCAACAATTGGGTGGAAAAAGAAAGTAAATAATGCAACCCATGTACAGCACGGTATCCACCTAATATCTCGCTAAAAAAGGGTATATTTTCAAGCGAATCGGAGCCCCAGTACATTATACAACTAATCTTATTTATGAATTGAATTATATTCATTACCATCATTCTCAATTTGCAATTGGTTTAATTCATTGCATACCAGACACATCCTACCATAAGAATCATCCCAAAAATAGTCTCGTGACTATGACTACAGATTTAACAGCAATCAAACACGTGGACGTCCTTCGCTTCAGGGAAAGCAAAACTTCATCTTAAAAAGCCTTACATATATAATATTAATACTGATCATGACATTAAGGTTTTTATACAACTTATCTACATTCCTCCGCAATTATTACGTTTCAAATCACATTCCCGAAGTTCTCATGATGCAAAATGACACCCCCAAAAAAAAAAAAAAATCAATGGAGGTATATGTTGACTGTAACCCCACTGGCAAAGTAAAAACCATACGTTACGACCCTATGAGACTGACTATTCACAATATCTCATCCCACATATGCCCCGCATATATCCTAACCAACAGAGCTCAAAGCAGAAAAGCTGAGAGGTAAGTGCAATGTTGGTGAGCGCAGAGAAAGCCATACCTGCGACTGTGAGAGAGGAAGGGGTCGGCATGACAGAAACAGGAGCAATTCCATTGAAGCAGCACTTCGTTCTGGTACATGGCATAGGAGGAGGAGGTTGGTGCTGGTATAAAATTCGGTGCCTTATGGAGAATTCTGGCTACAAGGTCTCATGCATAGACCTCAAGAGTGCTGGAATTGATCGATCTGATGCCGATTCTATTCTTTCCTTTGATGAGTACAATCAGCCTCTCATGGATTTCATGTCCGCTTTGCCTGAGAATGAACAGGTTGGTCATCATCTCGCTCCCACCTCTTCTTTCATATCTGTCTGTCTCTTTACAGAATTGAATTAAAGTGCTTATCATATCAAATAGGTGATATTGGTGGGACATAGCGCAGGAGGGTTGAGTATTACTCAGGCCTGTCATAAGTTTTCAAACAAGATCCGATTAGCAGTGTATACAGCAGCTACTATGCTCAAGCTCGGATACCAGACAGAAGAGGATATGAAAGATGTAATTCCTTTTCATTCAACCGTTTATACTTTTCTTGTTTTGATGTTTCATTCTTTTTTATTAGTCTACCTTAACCTTGACACCAATAATGATATGCACACTTGAGGATGTGAGTCTTAAGATATGAGTAGTCAAGTAACCAAGTATGAGCTTAAAATTGCAGGGAAACAGTTGTGAGTTTGAAAGTCTCCAATCAAATAGAATTAGAGGTTAAGAACATGTAAGCGGGAAGGTTTAACATCTTGACTTTAGATTTGGGAGCGAAATAAGAAAATTTGGGATGAGCCAGTGATTCCAATACTGGGATCCCATTGTTGCCTGACGTATGAATATTGAAGGTTTCCAGCAAGGATGATGTTGATGGTGGTATGTTGAAGTAATTGGCTTCCAACTGTCTTGCAAATTATTGGGTTCTTAGGCAAGGCTGAGGTTCATTACTACCGTTATGCAAAGCATTCACCTACTCTCTCACATTTTTTTTTTCTTTTCATAAGAATAATAGCCCCATAAACAAACAAAGTAGCCACTGTTTTAAAATGGGGAGTTTCTGTCTTTTCTCTCTCCTCTCTCCCTTCTTCCCGCCCTTTCTTTCTTGACCTTATCTAGGAGACGGTTTTTTAACGCTTTATGTCATCGTTAGCCTTCACAAGGAAGACCGCTTAGGCCCTTACAATGCCTGCTTGGCCTGCCCTATTTTTTTCTCTCTCTTTCTTTGAGTGTTCCTCCATTGGCAGTGAAGTGAATTATTACGGTTATTTTTATCAGGGTCCATAAAAATGGTTTTTAAAAGTCATCTTTATTTCACCTCATGCATTTTGACTTAGTGTGCACATCTCCTCCGTACGGTTGATTCTGAACAATGATGAAAGGAATCTACCCTAACCTGTGCTAAAATTTCCCCCATCCATTATGCCCTAACTCATTCACAATCATTAGCTTCTTGCACCTAATTAAGTAATACTATTTCATTTCGAACTGTGCTTATCTATATCAAGAAATTTCGTTCCATCTAAACCCCACAACACACATTGTATTAATCATTATAGCTGTATAAGCATTTTCTATAGACATGCTATCCCCTTTCCAAGCAAGAAATCGCTATATGTCTTGTTTTCTTCCTTTTCTTAACCTGAACAGCAATTATATCCGACAGCCCTGTTCCACAAGTCTACTTTGTCCTCCACTGATAAATAATGACAACAATTTTATTGTGTCCGAGTCTAATGTAGCGCCAACAATTGACCAGGGGCAAATAATCACCAGTGAATCCTAATTGCTTGCATTTCTTGACTTCAGAAAGCTAACTTTTACTGTGGCTCCTAAACTCTAGATTCAGTTACTTACAAATGTATGCAATATGTTTCAAGCAGGGGATACCTGACTTATCTGAGTTTGGGGATGTGTACGAGCTAGGATTTGGACTGGGAACAGATAAGCCCCCAACCAGTGCTGTGGTGAAGAGAAAGAGTTTCAACGCAAAATCATATACCATTTGAGCCCCCACGAGGTATAAATTTCTCTAAAAACTAGAAAAAAAGCATCAGCAGGCAGCTAGGACAAACCTGCAATCTCCGCGAAACTGTTTAACCCTTTATCACTTTCTCAGGACCTTTTTGCTGTAGAGTATACCCCACAGGCCTCAATTTCTAGATCTGCTTTTTCTACAAGTAGGACCATATCTAGCCAGTGCCCCCCATTTTGTTGCGAAAACATGAAAACCTAGATTATATATCTAAAACAGCTAGGTTCTATCAATTCAATAATTTCACTTGCAGAAACGGTGTTTGGGTTTCAGGATTCAATCTTAGCTGCAATGCTTTTGAAGCCCGGGCCGGTTCTTGCTATAACCAGCGCGCGATTTGACGATGAAGGGGAAGTGGAGAAGGTTAGGCGCGTGTACATAAGGACGAAGCACGATAAGGTGGTGAAAGGAGAGCAACAAGAGTCGATGATAAAGAAGTGGCCACCATGTGCAGTGTATGAACTGGACAGCGACCATAGCCCCTTCTTCTCTGCGCCATTCGTCCTCTTCGGCTTGCTCGTTAAAGCTGCAGCTTTTGACGTTGGATGCAACTTCCTAAGCTGAGGCTTGAGGGACCCTTTTTCCTTTTTTGCTTTGCTGTATCCATCTTCAAGCAATCCGTGGGAGAGAGGGCAGTTTGGTATCCAGTTTCGAGAGACAAGGATCATGTTATGGTATGAGTGTTTCATATCCACCAGTTTCATATCTTTTATATATATATATTATATATATAAAAATATCCAATTCATATAAAGATAAAGCTAACAGATTCACATTTGAATTTTTTTAAATTATCAATGTTTTTTAATTAAATTGAATTATCTAAAATAGATTTCACAAATCACAGAACTATAATGATGATTAAGAATTAACATTGTATGCATAAGAATTACTTATGAACGTGAGATTTGTAGTAACATGTTTTTACCTAGACATATACAAACTCTAACATTCACTTTCGAAAGTGTACCGGCAGCTTGTACTTTGCAAGAATTGAAGTCGAATTTTGTGATCAAATTGTGATAATTACCTCAAAGCGCCAAGGATATATTCTTTGGATCTTTTTCAAAACGCCATATGCATGAGAATTATTCATGACTTGTGGAGCTTCACTAATGGCGGAAGAGAACATCATATTGCAGGTTGCCTTCTAAATACGAGGAATCTGAGTTTAAAATGTGGATACACTATCATGTGAATGGAGATGAACAAATCCCTCAGTTATTGCGAAAATGAAAAAAAAGAAGAAGAAGATGAATAGATCCCCAACAATTGATTTTAAATAGAATTCGAATTTGCCAGGGCCTGCCAAGTAGTTTTATGATCCTCTTAATATGATCATTATATTAAACCCGTGTTAATTACAGAATCCGGACAAGTTTCTGGTTCCAAAGAAAAAAGATGAATGGCCACATTTAAAAATAACGTTGGTTCAATTACGTTTCGTAAATCAAATTTATCTATTTTCTTTTACAATCCTTCCGATTAGTTGATCTGCTTAAAAGTTGGACAAAAATGAACTAGCTAAATAAACATATCAAAGATGAAACTTATGTTACTGCAATGGGGCACATTGATGTTACTGTTAATTTGCTTAGTCTATCTATTCAAACTCGTATTTCCCAGAGCCTCAGCTCACAAAGGAGTCACAACCATTATAACATCAAAACCAGGTGATCCATGAGCAGCTTTAGGCTTAACTACAGGCAAGCTTTTTCCCTTGCTCAGTAGTCAATATGAGAGTGCGCGCGCAAAATTCATATATTATATTTTTTCTCTGATAATGTTCAATGCAAACGGTACTCATTTCTCCCTAAAAGGGAAAATCAAACACTTAAAAAAGCCGTGAAGCTATGCAAATACATGACTCTTGGCATTGAAAAAGCTATAACTCCTCGTCTTTCACTGGCTCTCCAACATCTGCAGCAATGATGATGAAGCATGATGATGATGCAGCCAATGGAAATTACATCGAGTCAGTGAGGAGCCTTAGATAACATAGCCATCGTAGCTGCCTTCTTCTGTAGCTCTGACTTGTTGGCTCCAACTAGTTTGTCTACTTGTCGTCCTTCTTTAAGAAAAAAGAATGTAGGAAGTGCTTTGATATCCCATGAACTACTCAACTCCTACATTTACCAAAAACATGTTTTCCAATAAGAAAGAAATTAGCTTCGATCATATTCAAACGTAAGCTACGCAGATGGCAGTTTCATTTGGTGTAGAGTCCAGAGGGAAAAATTCGGTTGCATTAGAAGGTAGATGCATGGCAAATGACTAGAGGGAAAGTAAAATGGTTTTTCTATTCTTATTGTTCAGGTGACAGTTTTGCTGCATCAAAAAAAAAAAAATCTATACTTACAGCAAGCCCATCAGCACCACTGTCAGAAATAAAAGGCTTGAGTACTTGTCAGCAAGCTCGGAGTAGGTTGGTGCTATATCCTTACAAGGATTAGACCAAGATGCTGTAAAATTGGCCACAACCTGTTGAATATACACCCAGCACCCCAAATAAAAAATCTTGTTAGGGATAGATAACGACACTGTTACAGCAAATAAAAAATCATAACAGGAACAAGTGACTAATAAAAGAATCTAGCAACAAAGATGATGCACTTAGGTTGCTAAGTAATGCATTTTGGCTGGCTTTAAAAATACGGGGTATGTGGGAGAACCCAAGGTAGGTGGAGAGAAATAAGGCAAATAAGTCTCTATTAACATATAAAATCAAAATCTAACTTTATAACATTAATAAGAGGATATAGAACTTAGAAAAGAAAATAGAATAAATAAATCTATCAATGATAGAACAATAATATCATTTATACTTCTCTCAAGGCCACACTTAGGACAATATTTAAAGGGTCAAAAGTCTCAAAAGTCAATTTTATTTATGATATGCCTATTTTTGAATTGCTAAATATATTTATAATACTAAATACAATAAAAAAAATGAATAAAATCTCTGTTACTAGATGATAAAATAAAACCAAATAAGGTAATCCTAGAATCTAGATCTAATTCCATTGTTTGGAAATTGTCTTGACTTAACCATGATTTATTTTATATTGTTTGAGATGTACACTTGAATCACACTGTGATGCCAAAAATTTGTTCTTAGAAAATTGTTTGGAATTTTGACACCCTTGGAGTCATACTTCTATGCTAAATTTTGATTTCAAACTGTTACTGTAATTTTGGAACATGGACCATTTCTATGAGATCCCTTGATGCAAATGGTTCTACCCTCATTTTCCATGGGTATAATTTACTATAACTATTATTTATTTATATGGTAGAGTTTATTTATTATATTAAATCTTTCTACAATAGCAGATCTTTTTTACCATAGTAGTTTATTTTTTGAAATGATTTATTTTTATGTCAAACTTTTTTCTACCATGATAGGGTTTCAAAAAAAATATTTTATTCTTTAATTACCATGATAGTCCTTTTTCTATCAGGGTAAATGTTTAATATTAATAATTTAGTTTAGTAACTTATTAGTTTGCAAAAAAAAAAAATTGATTCAAAATTTAAAGTGTTATATTCAAGCTCTGAAACAAAAACATGCAAAGCCCAAAAAGGCTTGGAGTTTGTTTGGATTCTTCTAGAGGTGAAGGAGAAAGGAGGCATCTCCTTAGCCTCATGACAAATGTATTTCTAGTTTAAGAGTGTTTCATTTGACTAAGTTGTTACAAGTCCTTTGAGACCATGAGAGTGTTAGACCTTAAATTCACTGTTAAAGGCTAAACTCAAGTTCTTGTACACACTTGTAGGTTGAGGAATTTTGTGTTTCTTCTAAATTTTCATATCCTCCCTTGATGCTGAAATGAATTTGATTGGCTTTGTTTTTGTTTGCTAGTTGGCACAATGGGTAGTGTCCTAATGGTAAAATCATAGACATCAAGACAAGCTATGAAGGAATAGATGCCTTCTAAGGCAAGGAGATATGGTTAGGTAAAGAGCGCGTGTTAAGATGAGTGGTGAGTGCGAAATTGTAAAAGTAGTGTAGAAGTGGTAGGAATCCATTGGATTGAACGGCTATGATATATAATGGTAGGATCCAAGATAAGTGGAGTGGGATAAGGTAGATAAGTCTTTATTAATATATGAAATCAAATCCAACTTTTTAATATTAATAAGAGGATATAGAACTTATATAAGAAAATAGAATGAATAATCTATCAAGATAATAGAACAAGAATCTTATTCTACACTTCTCTTAATAATCACATTTAAGAAAATATTCAAAGCCAAAAGTTTTAAAAGTTATTTTTATTCATGATATGCTGAGTGCTAAGCATATTTACAATGCTAAATACAATCTAAATAATGAATAAATTTAGATAACTAAATAATAAAATAAAAACTGAATCAAATATTATAGAAGCTAGATTTGATATTGAATAAAATTAAATAACTAGATATCTAAATAAAATTTAGATAACTAATATCTAAATAAAATATAAACAATATTAGTAAATAGAAAATATCTAAAATAAATTAGAATTAAAATAATATTTATTTTTAATATTTCTCTCCTCAAATCTTGGTACATCTGAAAGTAGAGACTACATACAAGGGTGCTAAATTGCTTGAGTAGCAACCAAATGAATGAAGCTACGAATGCATTAATCTCTGGGCAAATTCTTCATTGTTCCATATTATCTGTTTTTCTTTTCTTTTCTTTTTTCCTCCGCTGACATATTATCAAACATTGCACTAAAAACTTACGATCTGTCCCTCTTGGCGGGCTCGTAATAGATTTGTTTCCCAACTCTGAATGCTAGTTATGCGGTGCACATTTCTGAAGAAATGATATAGCCTATCAGAACTGTTCCTCACTATTACTTCCACAGACTGGCAATAATCATGCAACTATGAGATGACGTGACAGGATAGTAACTATATATTCATGTCATCACGTTAACTAACAAAGCACTAGAATTGGATAAGATCAAAACTATTTTTGGAATCTAATTGTATTTCAATAGTTAATAGCTACAAGTGATAAGGTATATAGTTCCATGATCTGAATGCCAATGCCTCTCGCAAAAAGGGCTCAGCATATGCCTAAAAGATGCTACTACATGAATACATATGTTTTGACACATCATCAATATCTTCAGTCCTTACTGCAGATGGATAACTCTGAAGGGGAAAATAACAAAAGGGGAGAACTGTTCTGGAGAGGATTCTTGTATGGATAGATTTTATTGAGATTGAGAAGCTAAACTAAAGGAATGGCGAGTTAATAGAAAATTGTCGAACCACTTGATT